ACCGCCAAGGGAGTGTACTATGTAGCGTAAATATAAGTGGAATTTTGTTTATTTGACCGCTGCTATGTCGAATAAACAAAAATGTACTAAAAAGTACTAATTTCATGTTTGTTGTTTCTCAGTACAATTCACTTAAAAAAGGTGTAATAATGGCAAAAACAAAACATATAATAATGGAGGCTATTTCTAGTTCAAAATAATTATCAGAGTATAGCTGTAGAATGAAAATTTTTTTAAATACCTTATAAATGACACAAAAAAAAACAACAGAATTATGTACTTCTCTTCGTATAAGAGGGCTAAACCATTTCAGAGAAATAACTAACACACACACACAGGTGGTTTTATTAGTCAAATTCGAACCCAGATTGACATCAGAGTCAGAGAACACCATTGATAACCAGTAGTCAGTATACACACACTGGACAGCTACTGTTTCGTCCTGCAGTACGCGCACCTACCACAGGAGTGGGTTCGAACCCAGTAGCTTCGAATTGCAAGGTTGTTATTGACATGACAAACAAAAAGGCTAAAAGTTTTGAAAAAATTCTTGCTATTACTATTTTTCCATGTTAGTGAAAGGATCAAGTCAACCACAAATCAGTAGACTGACACTGCCTCAGTCCATTAGGATGCATAATATGAGCAGAGTAGTACAGTTGTTGTTTGTGTGCAATTTACGTATTTCAGGACAAAGAGAAACTTGAAGATCTGCCCAGCAGGCAAAAATCAAGAAGCTGGCAGAAGAGAAGACAAAGGCAGTGAAGATATCCAGTTATATTATTTTAGTATTATTTTGTCCTTTCAATTGTAATATTTTGCATTTTCAACTTTCTTGTTCTCTAACCCCACCCGATTTAATTTCTACACCTCACTACCACTGTTACTGACTTGACCAACGCTCAATTTCTAGTCATTTATGTCACGTCATCCAACTTATTTGCTCAATATCAGTTCTGATTTAAATGGCATTATTCTCCACCCCACTTTTACTTAGTCTCTACTTATAATTACCTCTGTTGCTACCTGACCTAAGTTGAAACATTTTAGTTAATTATATTACGTCGTCATCTAACTTACTAACTCAATCTTACTTTAGTTGCTGTCTGATTAACCTTGTTTCTATATTAGATCATTCTTGTATTACCTGATCAATTATCTAAACTTGACAAACCTCATGTACACACATACACACAAATAATTATATATAAATGCAATTGTACAGCTATGTGAATGAATTCGCCGAAAAAAGTCTCTTCGCTGAACGTCTTCTCTTTTTCATATATTAACAACAGCGAAAACAAGCGCTAGTCCCAATCAACGGGAGAAATTTGAAGGAGGTCACTTCACTTCTCTCACTTATCTCGGCAATATCATTTCAACTGCAGGCGAATCGGAAAAGTTAGACAGGCATTCATTACTCTGAAAATCTGCTGCCGCACCCAGTCAGCACAAGGAGCAAGATTCAGCTTCTCTACGCCTAATATCAAGTCAATGCTTCTGTATGCTTCAGAGATTTGGTGTGTGTGTGTGTGTGTGTCACGCAGGAGCATTACAAACAGGCTACTGAAGACTTTCGTCAACAGCTGTCTTCATTCCATACTGAAGATCAGATGATTGATAAGGGAGGAATCAACAACACAGGATTGCGATGACGGACCAGGAGGAAATGAAAGTCTGTAGGCAATTGTGCAGTTAACTAGAAAAAGATTATATAGTAAATTGGAGATGAACTGCTAAAGCCTTGTGTTCCATTAGGGACCCAAAGGAATAATAATTTATTTATTTTTATTTTATTATAGCTTGATTCCACACAGTATTTTTGATACAAGTATGGAACTTTCAGCATGGTAACCCAAATTTTGCAGGCCGACCATAGATATCAGGTGTGCGTCGGCGTGGCCTCGAACCCCGGACCATGTACATGATCGGCGAGAGTCCTAACGGCGGTGCCACCAACGCATAATAATAATAATAAGCTTCGTTAGTGTACACGTAGGTGACAAGAACGCCAATGTGTACACAGTGAGACCTTGTAGTCCTGGACAAGATCTTATGTACCATCTAATCATAGATTAAAAAACTTTGTGCCTTTTAAACAAAAAAAAAGTTAAGCTAGTAGCGAAGTATTTCACTTAGCTCATTAAAAGTAATCTCCGTGTCTATGTCACATGAGTTGTACACATTTCTGACCTTAAAATCACCGTTCAGAAAAAAAAGAAGAAGAAAATACGCAAAACTTTGGCAAACACAAAAATAGAAACTCCATGTGAGGGTAATATTCACCTTGCTTAGCAGAGAGATTTTATTTAACACACACACACACACACACACAAATGTAGTGTAGAATAACGTAAGGCGTAAACAACTAACTTAGATATGTTAAGAAAGGTTTAGGCTTATGTGTCGGTGATTGCTGTACATCTTCATTCAATCAAGTATAAAGCTTATTCAAACAAGTATTAGTTTAAGACTTGCTTCTGTAGGCCAGTACTGGTTTGGTGTCATATATATTTCTATCCTTTACGTACAAAATTATTATTATTATTTCCTTTAATTCCTAGAGGAACATATGGCTTAAGCCGCGCGTCGCCACCACGTTCGGTTCTCTGCTAGAGTTTTTACCTGGCTCCAAGTCTGCCCGCATGCTATCATCTCCCCTTCACATCACTTTCTCCATATCACCCTCGCACTGACAACCAACTCCCCGCTTCCCACTCGACCGATGGCCTGGCGTGTCATGTCGCTTGATGGTTTGTTTTCTCAAAGTATCGCCAATCCACCACATTTCTTCCTACATATTTTATGCAACTGGCTCCTGGTGAGTTGGTTCGCTCTAAAAGATCCCACCCCATTGCTGAACTTTACTGGCCAGCCATCTGGTCTTGAGTATTGAGCGAAGACTGCTGTTAGTGAAGGTCTGTAGTTGGTAGCAAGAAGACAGGAAAACGCTGCACTGACCGATATGAAGACTCTAGAAGATCTGGATTTCTGGCTTGTGGATGATTTGTGCATAATGTCACACAAAATGGAAGACTCACAGACGAAAAGCATAAAAGTGACAATAGAGGCTGGCTGGCTGGCTGGCAGGCAGCGAAGACAGGGCTGCAAGTGAACATAGAGAAGACGGAGGTGATGAGGATAACTAACTAACCAACCAACCAACCAACAGCGACAACAACAACAACTATCAACGGAAGCGATTTGACTGAGGTTACTTCCTTCGCTTATCCGACTAGGAAGAACGGTTTCAACCACAGGCAGCCGAGTGGATGAGAATGTCAAAGCTGAAATGGGATTGGTAAGGTACACACACCTTCATCAATCTAAACTGAGTGCGGAAATCTTCTGCACTTCGCGTAGCACAAAGAATACGATTCAGATTTTCAACACAAATGTGAAGCCAGTCAGTTCTTCTATACGAGTCAGAAAACTAGGCAAGCGCATCACCGAAAGCATTTCCAACAGGTTGCAGACTATAATTAACATCTGCTTTCGTTCTACACTGAAGAGTGAATGGCTAGAAAGAATCAGTAACAAGAACAGGCGAAACGGATGTGAAAGTCAGCCAGCCAGCCAGAATAGGAAAGGCAAGATACGCACACCTTCATGAACATGAAACCAGTTTGGAAATCTTCTACACTCCACCGAAGCATAAAGAACAAGAGATTCGGATTCAGTTCAACACAAATGTCAATTCTGTCCTTCTATACGGGTCAGAAACTTGCACAATGAGCGTCACAGAAAGGATTGACGACAGCCAGTTACAGACTTTTATCAACAGTTGCCCACTTCTCTGGCTGGCTCCATATACTGAAGATCAATTGGCCAGCCGGCTGGTCGGAAAATAATCAGCAACAAGAGAAACTCTGGCAAAAAGCCAAGCCGATTGGTGAACAAATATGCAGAAGAAAATGGAGATGGATGGATCGGGCACACGTTGAGGAGACCGTCGAATGACATCGTGTGCAATTCAGGCCATCACTCGAGTGGAACCCGAATGGGAAGCGGCGACGAGTGGGTCGTCAGTGCGAGGGTGACATGGATTAGATAGTGTGGGGAAGAGGAGGAGACGAGAGACGATTATGGGCAATCGGTCGTGTAGCTAGCCAGCTGAAGAGGACGGCATCAAATTGAACAGTGTTGATGTTGTGTTGTTGAAGACCTATGTTCCACTCCGGACCAAAGGGAATAATAATAATAATAATAATAATAATGTGGAAATTAGGGGAGAAAAGAAACCAACGTGAAACATTATCAAAGAAATCATATAATCTGAATATTAGTCACCAGCTCACTGAAGGCTACTACCGGATCGATTTTCTGAAGCCGCAGTATAGTAAGTCGTGACCAGGGGGGGGGCACCATACCATGGTGAAGTGGGTGCTGACTGACAGCATAATTGAAAGCAGCGCTGCCGAGTATCACTGAATTCCAGGAGCCAGCTCAAGCAGCTGAATGATCAAGAAAAGCTTGGTCTTGTAAACTGAAGTACTCGGGTCGCATCCCTGGAGGGTTTGTGGGCTGGTATGGACTAGTAAAGAGTTTAGAAACAGGATGAAATGCTGTGTGCTGGTTTACGGTAGTCTCTCTCTAACTGATGTCGATTCATTAAGAACTTCTAACACCTGAAAATAATTGAAATCATTGAACCTCAATTCTATGAGATAGTTATTTCAATGACTTATGTAAAAGATTGTGCGTCGGCGGCATAGGAGTTAGGATGCTCGCCGACCATGCACATGGTTCGGGGTTCTATCCCCGGCCACCGACGAGGCACTCCTTTACCTCCCTAAGCCAGAAATAATGCTGGTAAAGACGAAAGGTTGGACATGAGGCTAGCCAGCAGCGCCATCCTGTAAAAATAATCACCACTGCTACAGAAACTTCAAGCCTTCTAGCTTGAAGCCCCCCTATGTTCCCCTGGGGAATGTGAAGGAAAGAAGAAAAAAAAGTGGAAAAGATTAGTGTTGTTTAAAAATTAAAATACTACTACTTACTTGGATGCTTCTAGTAAACCGGCAGATAATTCCAAAAATACGGAAAGATAATTACCACGTACAACACCATTACCGTCTGGATAGACTTTGAGGCGCCAGCTCAATCCGCTAACATGCAACGGCTGACTATACACCGGATCAGCTCGTTGTTTCATTATTGAATATGGTTGTAGGATAAATGTGCTCGATTCATATGGAGGTACAATTTCGCTTGATTGAATTAGAGGGTAGTGTGTGTTTGTGTGTGTGGGGGGGGGGGAGAAACAACAACAGATTTGACATTAATTCATAGAAAAGTCACATAAAATTGGTATACTGAATAGGTGACTTAATATAGTGAACAATCATCCAGTATTGTTTACATTGGGCATTTTTCCGTGTTCTAAACCACTGACTTGCGTGTTACAGTATATATCATACAGTAATAGTGAATTCGATATTTTAATTTCATTGATATCAGTATTTTACACATATACAGGGACAAGTAGTGGAACATTTCTGTCCCACCGACTATGCCATTTTTACACAATAAACAAGGATTCAGTGATTTAAGTGGTAACCAGATTTACTGTATTCCGCTAACATTTTCTGTTATGCATCAAGCAGAGAATCTGACATGGTTATCGAGTTCGCATATCTCTACGACCCAACAAGCTATACTGACTGGAATAAATATTTCTGCAGGAACACTTGCGCCAGGAACGAGGTTTGAATAGTGGTTAGACTTAAATCACTAACCACTGTACTGTAAGGTATTTTAAACTATGTGAGTGATCTGTCGGCGAAGTGGTAATTTCTGCTGCCGAATCCGAACTAATGACTGACTGACTGACTGGTTTCAACATAGAACCTTGCACCGATGTGCAGCGGTTCAAGTCGCCATACTCCATCCTTGTAGTACACAAAGCAACACAAGAAAATGGAAGGAATGCATAATAGAGACAGTAAGCAGGGATATGAGACATAGGAATAGTAATAACGAAGAACAATATAGTTTCATTGGAAACCATAGTCAGAAGGAGTGGATGCATCGGCGCCAGCCATCACCAAGAACGATTTTGAGCCATATCATAAATTGTCGCCAGCGTCCATTGGTTTTTACCGTCCTGAGGACCCCAACCACGAAGTCTACATACGCCTTCCTACGTGGTTGGCTTAAACTAACTGTTGTGGATCTCTTCATTGACTGATGAAGGCATGTTTTGGTTTGACCACCACAAGTGGCTCTTTTCCAACCTAATTCATCCTATGTTAGTTAGCATTGCCCGTAGTCGAGGAAGGCGATGGCTGGGCATACGTAACACATGTCTGAACCATCTAAATCGATGTAGCTTCACAGCCTCGTCTATGGATTCTCCCTCCTTACCTAGAACTCGACCGAGGCCTCACCTCAATACTGCCTACCCTACTATAACACCTGACACAGGAGATAAAAAGCAGGCACCTATGATCAAAGACAGCTAGCCAGCCTTTTTATGTCTTCCACTCTCAATGACCAGGTTTCACAGCCAGCCATAAAGGAGGACGGAGCAGACTGCTGAGCAGTACACATGCCGTTTGATCGATAGCCAGCCGGATATCAGGTCTACGCCAGAGACGGTGTAAACTGGCATATTCGAAACTAGCCCTCTGTATCCGTGCTGAGATTTCGTCAGTGATCAACCCGCTGGCACTGGCTGATGCAACTTCCCAAATAAGTGAAGTGGTCAACTTGCCCTACTACTTCACTCCCTATTTCTGAGCTAGGAGTCAGTATAATCCAGTCCTGTAGCATAATCTTACATTTGGCGGGAGCGAATTGTATGACAAAGATTCGCAGATTGCAGCTCAAGGTGCTCAGGAGACTCTGCATTTTGTCAGCGGCTTCACCTAGAAGGACGACATCATTTACATGCATATTTTAAGTCGACGAGATTATTCCCTGACGGTAACAAGCCAATCCCTGATTCGCTGAAGTTACTTAAGTTTAAGTCCATCAGTACATCTATGATGACATTGAATAGAAATGGGGATAGTGGGCATCCCTGACGGATACCACTAGTTGTCACGAGTTTAGATGACAACTCGCCGTAAGCTCTCACGTGGTTGGCTGCATTAGAGTAGTGCCTTGATCAGTACAGTGCATTTTCTCGGCATTCCCTTCACGGCCATACATCGTAATAGTACTGACCCTCGCCATTGATGCCCTGGCGCTATGTGGTCTATCTGAGTCCAGCGTTGATTTAGTGATGGAGGTCGCCAGGCTACACAATGTCTCTCTTTGTGCCTAAAGTTAGTGCTGACTAGGAACAGATGATTATCTGAGAAAAACTGTAGAAGACGATCACCGTTGTCGGTTCGTCGGCAGGAAACTCCATACGTACCACAGACATTCTTCTCAGTCTGTCACAACTTCCCTACTTGAGCATTGAAGTCGCCTGCTAAAACAACTGTATCTGAATGCTTTGCTTTTTGCAGCAAATTAGACAGTTTCAGGTAAAAGTCGTCCTTTAGTTCATCTGAACTGCAGTCTGTTGGGGCGTAAGCGAAGACTACCGAAACGCAACTACAGGTAACGCCATCTTTCCTTCTTTTATTTTTATTTTTTATTACAGCTTGATTCCACACCGTATTTTGGGTACAGGTATGGAATTTTCAGCATGGGATATTGGTAGCCCAAATTTTGCAGGCCCACCATAGATATCGGGTGTGCGTCGACAGGGGATCGAACTCCGGACCATGTGCATGATCGGCGAGCGTCATAACCGCTGTGCCACCAACACATTCAGACGGGCCGCGCACATACGAGTATCTACTAGGATCCAGTTAAGAAGTGGTTTTTCCGCCCTAACACTCTGTGTGCTATCCCTACACCTGCGAGTCCTCGCGAGCTAGCTGAGGGGTTTCCTGACACCCTTAAAGTGAATTTCGCAGATTCACTTTGTTGACCGGGTGAGGTTAAGTGAATGACCACACTCGGGTCTTGTATGCGTGTCTCCGAAACACAGCACACATCCATGGTTCGAGATTCCAGAGTTTTTGGTAGTGATGCTTGTTGTCCGATTTGGCAGAAGGTCTTGACTTTGAGCGCTCTTACTTAGAGTTGGCGACGTGGTTAAAAAAGGCTTTTGGGGGTGTTTCTATGGCTGTCATCATTGTTTTTGGTTACAGAGTGAAATGAAGATGACTCACTAGCCTGAAGAATAGTTCTAACTGTAGTAGGGGAGTAAGATGATGGTGATGTGGGTAAAGGAGAGCGATGCTCAGGAAGGCTTCGTGTGCTTTCGAAAGTGTGTGGGCGGTTGTTACTTCCCGGCTGCCCACACCGTGGAAGTTTGTTGGATTTTTGGGTACCTGAAATAGAAAGAGGGTTAGTGCTGCTTGACTGCAGAGCCCAGGAGACAGCTGCTTGATGCCGGTTACACACGGCCTGTATGAACTGGTTTCTGGGATTGGTTCCGTATTAGTAAACTTACCACCGGTTACGGACCGCTGTAGGGTAAGTCGGGATGTACAATTTCTGGGGTTGACCTTTTCTAATCCCCTCTTTCTACAGGGGAGAGACAGCATAGCTGGCATTCTGGTCATCTGAGGGAAACACGTAACTGCTGTTACATCCCTGTTCCCCATCAGTTCGACTTCGGGCATAGACACCCAGCATAGTGTAAAAAATTCCTACAGTATACCGATAACTTGCTTTTAGTCTAGTCGTTATCCTAACAATCGTCTTGGCATGGTAGGACCTGCGAGAACAATAGTTCCAGTCAGTGTAGCTTATTGGGTCATCGCGATGTGCAAGCCCGACCACCACGTCAAGGTAGCAGCTGTCGGTCAGGATCCGAACTGATAGACACAAGGAGGCTGATTGCGGCGGAGCGAAAGCTGATCAAACATAAAAAGTCTTCGCGACGACCGTGAACAGTGGTGGGTGACAAAAGGAAAAGGGATGGAAAAGACATTGGCAATAGGTAACACCATACAACTATCCAGGGTTATCAGGGAAATAGGTGACGAAACGTAAATGATAATGAGATTAAAGGTGGTCTAGTTACCTCTCAGGAAAGGTGAGTGGAACGTTGGAAAGAACACTTTTGAGGAGCAAATTAACTCGTCTACAGTCTCGTTCAACTTCTCCACCATCCAACATCTACCCTCAACAGGTTGTAGATACCAGTCCTCCATCTATAACCGATATTACAAAGGCTTTCTCCAACCGAAAGAGAGTGAAAACAGCCGAATATGACGGAATGACTACAGAGGTGTTTAAGGACAGTAGTCACACACACACACACACCTGTCTGGGTGAACTAAGCCACTACACAATGTCTGAGAATCAGAGATAGTCCGGTTCGACTGGTGTAAGTTATTCATCACCCCGGTATACAAGAGGGAAGGAAAGTCTTCCTGTGGTAATCACATGGGGATTAGCTTGACTAATATGGTATCTAAAGTTGTAGGCTCAAAAAGTGTGAACATTAAAAGGGCGCTAGGCAAAAACATAAGCGAGAAAACCAGGCAGGCTTTAGACTGTGACAACAGTGTACTAATCATATTTTCACCCTTTGACAGATTCTGGAACATACAACATACTTATCGGAGTCCAAAAGTCGATATACTTCTTCACTTGAAGGCGGGATTCCACTCCATCGACTGAGAGGTATTATGGAAATGTTTAAGCGTGGAGGAAGTGACAAGAAAATACACCAAACTTTACTCGAATATACCGTAACGGATTTCAGTAACTCAGGATAGTCTTGTTCACAAACAATGTGCAGACGGTGTAGTTTTATGCTAAATCGCTGACAAAATGCAGTCTTCTAAACACGTTGAGCATCAATATTCGAACGTCTGGGACGCAATTCACACTTGTCAGATGTAAGATGACTACGGCTAGACTACATCAACATCTAGCTTAAAGCGAGAAGGAGTGAAGTGGTAGAGTACGTTGATCATTTCACTAATTTGAGATGTTGCATTAGCCCCAATGGGCCGATCTCTGACTAAGTCTCAGAACGAATAAAGAAGGATCGTGTGGGATTAGACAACCTGCATCATCTCCGGCGTAGATGTGGTATCCAGCTGGCTTGCGATCAAACGACATGTATACTGCTCAGCAGAAACAACAGTAGTTCGCTCCGTCCTCCTTTGTGGCTGGCTGGGAGACATGACATTGAAAGTGCAAGATATGAAAAGCCCAACTAGCTGTCATCCATCATAGGTGTCTCCATGCT